AGACCAACCAGGTAATGATGCCCAGAAGCACAAGCCTGCAGCTGGGCCAGCCACAAAGGACTGGCTCATGTCCACAAGGCTTCCTGAAAGTCAGGCCTCCCTGGCCTTGCTTGCTCTCCAGGGCTCACCCGGAAAGCATACACTGTTCTAAAACTAGTGCAGGGAGACAAAGGCAGAGAGAGTGAGATGGAGTTCCTCTGCAGTGGGTCTCAGCCAGTGAACTCCCTGGGAACTTAAAAGCACCAGTGCCTGGGGCCCACCCCAGGGATCCTGATTAATTAATTTGAGGGGGCATTCTAGGCATCAGCACCTAAAAAAACTGTAAGGTATTGCCACTGTGCAGCCCAGGCTGAGCAGCACTGCTGCCCGACTCCCTCAACCCTGAGTAGCTCCTTGGGGACGCTTCAATGCCAAGTGAACAGCCCCATTGGGCCACCTCCGTTATTCACAGTGTGTGTCTTTGGCTTAGCAGCTATCCATAAAAATTGTCAGGGTACACAACATGCACACAGGAGAGAGCCGCTGTAAGGCAGGGTGAGAATGGGGTGTGGAGTTATTTTAGAAGGGAGCAGGAGCGTCCCCAGGTCACAAGACTACAAGGGTTTGATAAAGGAATCAGGAAGAGGGAGCTAGGGCCTCCGAGTAGCATGTAGAAAGTGTTTTTGCCCTTGTCCCAGCACCCAGCTTGCTATGGGTGCTTGGTGTTTATGTGAGCTTTGCCTGGTCTGCCCTCTCTTCTCTGCTGCATATAAGCTGCCAGCTCAAGGGCAACCTCCTCACCTCAAATCAATTCTGTAAACACCTATGGAACATCATTTCTCTGATGGATATATAAACTGGGAACTAGAGAGCACACATCAGATAGCTGTTATTTTTTTTTTATAAGTACTCTTCTTAGAAGTCAGAGGTGGTTAGGGATAATCAGGCGGGCAGACAAGTGGTTAGGAGCAATCAGACAGGCAGGCAAGTGGTTAAAGGTGATCAGGTAGAATGGTTAGGCATGATCAGGCAGATAGGCAAGTGGTTAGGGGCAATCAGGCAGGCAGCCAAGCAGTTAGGTGTGATCAGGGAGGCAGGCGGGTAAGTGGATAGGAGGCAGCGGTCCCAGATTATAAGAGGGAGGTCCAACTACCAGTTTAGGTCCGATCCCTGCTCGGGCCTAAACCAGCAGTCAGATATCCCTCAAGGGGTCCCAGATTGTGAGAGGGTGCAAGCCAGGCTGAGTGACCATCCCTCCCACCCCCTCCCCTGTGCAGGAATTTCATTCCTGGGCCTTTGGTATGATAATAATAGGGCCTACTTTGGAGGGTTGCTATAAAGTCTGAATTAATTCATCAAAACATTGAGAGGAAAAAAAACCCCACCAGAAACACCAGGAAGGATGCTTGGTATATAGTAAGTATCTAATAAACATTAGCCAATATTATTATTATTATTATTATTATTATTATTATTATTAATGTTATCAATAACATAATATATCATAGTATTACATTATATATTACTAGAGGCCAGGTGCACGAAATTCCCTCAGCCCAGCCTGCACCCTCTCCAAGATGGGACCTCTCTCACAATCCAGGACTGCTGGCTCCCAACTGCTCGCCTGCCTGCTTTCCTGATTACTCCTAACCACTTCTGCCTGCCACCTGATCATCCCCTAACTAACCACTCCCATGCCAGCTTGATTGATGCCTAACTGCTCCCTTGCCAGCCTGTTTGCCCCTAACTGCCCTCCCCTGTAGGCCTGATCACCCCTAACTACCCTCCCCTGCAGGCCTGGTCTCCCCCACTGCTCTCCCCTGCAGGCCTGAGTCCCGCCCCAATTGCCCTTCCCTACAGAACCAGTCACCTGCAGGCCTGATCACCCCTAACTGCCCTCCCCTGCAGGCCTGGTCCCTCTCAACTGCCCTTTCCTGCTGGTCTGCTCACCCCTAACTGTTCCCACCTCAATGATCTGATCACCCCCAATGGCCCCTCCTCCCCCCCACTGCCTGATCACCCACAACTGCCATCCCATTCTGGCCTGATCAACCACAACTGCCCTCCCCTCTTGATCTGTAACCACCTCTACCTTGGCCTGCCACCATGGCTTTGTCCAGAAGAATGTCTGAGAAGTCTCCTAGAAGGTATCCCAGTCTAATTAGCATATTACCCTTTTATTAGTATAGATAGAGGCCTGGTGCACTGGTGAGGGGCAGCTGGTTTGCCCTGAAGGGTGTCCCAGATCAGGGTGGGGGTTTCCTTGGGGTGTGGGGCAGCCTGGGCGAGGGGCCTGTGGTGGTTTGCAGGCCAGCCACCCCCCCATGGGGTAAGAGTCCCTGCTGAGGGGCATGGCCAGCCTGGGTGAGGGGCTGAGGGCTGTTTCCAAGCTGGCCACTCCTCCCCTCCCAACCCAGCAGGGACTCTTACTCCAGGGGTGTGTGGCCAGCTTGGGTAAGGGGCTGAGGACTATTTTCAGGCTAGCCATGCCCCCTGGTGACCCAGGCTCCCAGCCCCTCCTTGAGCAGAGGCTAGGGCAGGTGGGAAGCTTGACTTCCTCCTTCACTGGGGGCAACCCAAGCCTCCTGCTTGCTCCAGCTTCAAGGTTGCCGCCATCTTTGTTGGATTAATTTGCATACTCACTCCTGATTGGCTGGTGGGCACAGCGGAGGAACAGTCAATTTGCATGTTTTCTTTTATTAGTGCAAATGTTATAATATGTATTGTACAATGTTATGATATAATAATAATACTATAGCTACTCTAGTGAATAAGACATATAGTCTTTGATTTTATGGAATATACAGGCTAATGGGGAAAACAAACACTTATGATAGGTTGGTATTATGGTAAAGGTGTGTGGGAACATTCAGGAGGGGCCCCCATACCAGGTTTGGAGAGTTATTGGAGATATCCTAAGGGAAATGATGGCTTAGCTGAGACCTAAAAAGTGAGTAAGAGATTTTCAAGTATGGGAGGGATTGTGGGGAGGAAGAACATTCTAGGTGGAGAGACTAGCAATATGAAGTCAGGAGGTGAGAGAAGAGGGGCTTAGTGGAGAGGAGGGGGACACAAAAGTGAGGTTGTGTAGGCCTGGTAAGCCATCATAAAAAGTTTGGACTTGATAAAAAATGGAGAAGATACAGGTCCTGTCCTTGGTAGCTCTTAGTTAAGTTGGAAAGATGGACATAAAATAGGCACTTTATTATTATTATTATTGAATTTATTGGAGTGCCATTGGTTAATAAAACTATATAGGTCTCAGGTGTACAATTCTACATGACCTGTATATATGATTGTGCGTTCACCACCCCAAGTCATCTCCTTTATTATTTTTATTAACTATCCTATCTAATAAGGAGGGAATATGCTAATTGACTGCCCTGTCCTCAAAGATGGCAGCACCCACAGCCACAGGATGGTGGTGCCCAGTCCCCTCAGCCCCGCCGGGGCAGCAGGCACGCAGCAAGGCTGGGCCCTCCCTCTCTGCACACCTGCCTCTGGAGTCCCCCAGTACCCCCAGGCCCCCAGCTGCTCAGGGCTGGCCCAAGGCACAGGCAAGCCTCAATGGTGGCTGCCTAGCCGCCCAGGGCCACCTGAGATCAGGTAACCAGGGCTGGCTGAGGCTTGCGCTGCTGGAAGTAGCAGCAGCAGAGGTGTGATGAGGCATTGCCTTCCCCTGATTTCTGGGTTGCCTCCCACCCCCTGAGGGCTCCCAGACTGTGAGAGGGGGCAGGTTGGGCTGAAGGACCACCCTTCCAGTGCATGAATTTTCATGCACTGGGCCTCTAGACTATATGTATAAGAGGCTAATGCAAAGTGTCCCCACAGGAGTTCAACTGGGAAACTGGGAGTTCTATCACTTGCTATGACGTGCGCTGACCACCAGGGGGTGGCACAGAATGAAGGAAGGCCTTGGCTGAAGTCTGAAAGGCCCTGATCAGCCAGAAGGAAGACCCTGGCTGAAGTCTGGAAGGCCCTGATCAGTCCTGATCACTGGCCAAGCCTAGGGACCCTATCCATACATGAATTTCATACACTGGGTCTCTAGTTTAATATAATGTAAGAATATAGAGGAAGGGCTCTCAATCCTACCTGAGGCAGAGAAGAAAGAGCTTATGGAAAAGGCCAAGGTGAAATGCACAGAGAACATGGACAAGAGTCACACAGGGACACTTCCTCTTTCCAAGAACGCCCTCTTGCCTTTCTTTGTAGGTTCCTTTTGTGTAATAACACTCCTCACCAAGTTAGAAGAAACTCTAATCTTACTTTTTCTCTCAACTCTCATGTTCAACTAATGGCCAGGCCCCACTGAGTTGCCACCTCTGATTCTATTGCCTCTAGTTGCCCTTTATCATAATTTGTCAAGGGATAATTTCAACAACAATGTCTATCTCAGTTTACCCTGATCGAATTCACTTTTCTCATGACTTCCAGAGAGATCTCTTCAATATGTAAATCCAGCCATGTCTCTCTCTAGGCTGAAACTGTTCAGTCCACAGCACCTTGCTCTTCCTGCATTTCTATCCACCGACAGAGCTACCATGAATGTGTATAAATTACCTTCATCCCCTCTGGGGAAATAGAGCAGTGCTACTTTATTATTTATTTATGCATTTTTATTTTTAGGTTTTTTTTTAATTGAAATATAATTGACACAGCACATTGTGTACATTTAAGGTGTATAATTTTACACATTATATGTATATTGCAATATGATTAATCACTATAGCTTTAGCTAACAGCTCTGTCAGAGAACATAACTATCATTTATTTCTTGTGGTGAGAACATTTATGATCTGGTAGGAGTGTTATTTTAAACCTGTTTTTAATACTAAGGTAAGTTAGCAACTTTTCCTCTCTGTAATTTCACTAAACCTGAACTATTCTTTTTTCTTGAAGACTTTAATTAAGATGTGGAAGTATGCCTAGACCTTTTAGGTATACGGATTTTAAAAAAAACAAAACCAAAAAACCATTACATCCCTTTTCTGTCTTCCCAGAGTGAGCACCATACAAATGCCAAATATAGGTAAGTTGGAAGGAAAGTTATTCAGTAGTAGAGTCTTCCATGTACACTGACTTCTTAGCTTTCCCTCCTTCTATGTCCTTTTCCAAGATAGTTTTTTTCAGTTTTACTTTTTAAACAGTCAGGTTTATTGGGGAATAATTTACATAACTAAAATTTATCCTTTCAATGTGTCTAATTAAATGTTTTGTTGATTGTATACAGTCATGTAACTGCTGCCTTAATCAAGATATAAACCATTTTTATCAACTCCAAGAATCCCATCATGCTCCTTTGTAGCCTTTCTCTTCACCCTTCCCCATTTCCTGGCACTTGATCTGTTTCCCAGAATGTCACATAAATGGAATTCTACTAGTATAATGTGTAGCCTTTTGTGTTTGGCTTCTCATACTTAACATATTTCTTTTAAGACTAATTCATATTGTTGCATGTGTCAGTTTTTTTTTCTTTTTTTTTCTGAGTATTATTCTATGGTCTGGTGTAGCACAATTTGTTTATCTGTTCACCTGTTGGTGAACATTTGAGCTGTTTTCAATTCTTAGTTATCCTATATAATAAAGAAATGATATGCAAATTAATCCTCACACCACAAGATGACCACCCCATGTCATCACAAGATGGCTACCCCCACATTGTCATAAGATGGCTGGCAGGAGAGGACAGTTGCGGGCAACCAGGCCTGCAGGGGAGGGCAGTTGGGTGTTTGATCAGGCCAGCAGGGGAGCAATTAGGTGTCAATCAGGCTGGCAGGGGAGCGGTTAGAGGCAATCAGGCAGGCTAGTGGTTAGGAGCTAGCAGTCCTGGATTGTGAGAAAGATCCCACATTGGAGAGATTATAGGCTGGGCTGAGGAACACACCCCCAGTGCATGAATTTCATGTACTGGGCTTCTACTTTTAAATAAAATGTTTGTAAACATTCATGTACTGGTCTTTGTGTATAGATATGTAAGTTCATTTTTTACACAAATACCAGAGTGTAATTGCTGGATCATATAATAAGTGTATGTTTACCTTGATAAGAAACTGCCAATCTGTTTTAAAGTGGTTTTACCATTTTCCATTCTCACCAGCAATCTGGGAATTTCTGTTGATACATATACTCACCAATGTCAGTCTTTTCAGTTTCAGATATTTTAGTGGATGTGCAATGGTATCTTCTCATGTTTAAATTCAAGTTAGCATCTTTTAATGCACTATTTTGCTATACATATATATACTTGTGAAAGTATCTGTTTAAATATTTTGACCTTTTTTAAGTTGGATTTTTTAATAATCTTATTGAACTGTAAATGTTCTTTATAAGTATTCTGAATACAAGTTCCTTATTAGATATAGAATTTTCTAGTTTTCCAAGTCTATCTCCTCTCCCCATTTTCTTAACATTATTTTTTTAAATAACAACTTTATCTTTTGAAGAGCAGAAATTTTAATTTTTATAAAGTCCAATGTATCAACATTTTCTTTTATGGTTTGTGATTATGTGATGTTTGTGTCCTATAAGAAATCTTTGCCTAATCCAAGTTAGATTTCTCCTATGTTTTCTCAGAAGTTTTATAGTTTTGTCTCTTACATTTATGTCCACTGTACATTTCAAGTTAATTTTTGAGTATGGTATGAAGTAAGGCCAAAATTCATTCTTTCGTTATGGATGTAAAATTGTTCAAGAACCATTTGTTGAAAAACTATTCTTTATCCAGTGAATTACCTGAGCACTTTTGTTGAAAATCAGTTGATTATATTTTTTGATTCCCTAGTCTGTTTTCTTAATTTATATGTTTATTTTTAGACCAGTACTACATTGTCTTTATTACTGTAGCTTTAGAATAAATATTAAAATCAGATAGAATGAATCTTGTAACTTTGTTATTGTTTTTAAATAATCATTTCTAGGTAGGTTCTTTGCATTTCCAAATAATTTGAGAACCAGTTTGTTAGTTTCTACAACAAAAATAAAAGAATATTCAAGTTTTATGTCAGACTGTGTTGAATCTGCCCAATGGGTGTAGCTCAGTGGTTGAGTGTCAACCTGTGAACCAGGAGATCATAGTTTGATTCCTGGTTGGAGGCACATGCCTGGGTTTTGGGCTTGATCTTCAGTAGGGTGCCTGCAGGAGGCAGCCAATCAATGATTCACTCTCATCATTAATGTTTTAATCTCTCTCTCTCTCCCTTCTTCATTGAAATCAATAAAAATGTATTTAAAAAAAAGACATATTAACAATATTAATTCTTCTCATCCATGAGCATGATTTGTCTCTTTGTTTGATTCTTCCTTGATTTCTAGTTTGCTGAAATTTCTTATGATGGATGTTTAATTTTATAAATTTTTTAAAAAACATGTATTGAGATGATTATATGATTCTACTATTTTAGTCTATTGAGATTGTGAATTTTATTTATTGATTTTGAATGTTGAGCCATTCTTGCTTTCCTGGAATTAACCCAAGTGGGTCATCTTTTTTTATATATATATATCTGAATTCAGTTTGCTAATATTCTGTGACTATGTGCATGAAATCTATTGGTCTATAGTTTTCTGTCTTATCTGGTTTTGCTATCGAGATAATGTTGGCCTCTAAAATGAGTTGTAAAAGGTTTCCACTTCTTCTATTTCTTTGGAAAAGTTTATGCAAAACAGGTGCTATTTGTTAATTGTTTGCTAAAATTAATCAGTGAAGCCTTCTGAATCTGGAGTCTATTTAATAGAAAAATGTCTATACAAATTGTCCAATTTTTCTTGATTGAGCTTTGATGCCTGGTGACTTATTCTTTTGTGGTGGTCTTTGTGTGAGATGTTGGCATTTTACAACTGTCTTCTAATTTCCCAGGTGCTATCAGGAATATCTTATTGTTTATTTATACCATTTTAATTTATTATGCCATCTTTTAATACCCATTTAATGGCTACAATATACAGATTACATTTAATTTGTTTGACAATGAACATGTGGCAGGGGAAACGTGGTGGTCGTGGAAGGTATTATTATACACCTTGAGCTAAAAAATATTTTTTTCAGAAAGACAGGATTTCCTGATGACTTTGTCAGACAAATTTATCTTTTTTATGTTTTTTTTTTTTTTTTAAATGGGAGAATAATAGAGGGGAACTTGCAACAAAAATATCCTTCCCAGCCGAAACCGGTTTGGCTCAATGGTAGAGCGTCGGTCTGTGGACTGAAAGGTCCCAGGTTCAATTCTGGTCAAGGGCATGTACATTGGTTGCGGGCACATCCCTGGTAGGAGGTGTGTAAGAGGCAGCTGGTTGATGTTTCTCTCTCGTCGATGTTTCTAGCTCTCTATCTCTCTCCCTTCTTCTCTGTAAAAAAATCAATAAAATATATTTAAAAAATATATATATCCTTCCCAGCAAACACTGGGAAAACTAGCGGGAAAATGGTAGGATTTGCCAGCATGATGTTCACAGTTTGTGTATTTCTAAATAGATTGTTTTTGGTTATGGATAAGAAACAATATTTTAGTGTTTGTTTTAGAATTATTGGCACACACTGAAATGTATGATTTCTTGATTGGGAGTATTTTAAAATAAAATGGAAAGAAACCAACTTTCCCCCAATTCTTTATCCCTAGCCTATGTTTAAATATTGTAAATAACCTTTGAAAATGTTTCAGCCACATTTGTTGAAATAACACCAGCAATAATTTGAATGACCTATTAAAAACAAAAAACAAAAAAACTTACCCTCCAACTTATACTTCTACTTAAAATTTTGTCTTTGTTCACATTAAATCCTATAGTGTTTTCCTAAAGACAACTTATTTGCAAGTACACAATAACTTATTTAATCTACTTTGGCTTAGTTTACTTACATGTAAAGTAGGTATTTTTTCCCCCTACCATCCTCAATGTTGTTATAAGAATAAAATCAGGCCGAAACCGGTTTGGCTCAGTGGTAGAGTGTCGGTCTGCGGACTGAAAGGTCCCAGGTTCGATTCCGGTCATGGGCATGTACCTTGGTTGCGGGCACATTCCTGGTGAGGGGTGTGCAAGAGGCAGCTGGTTGATGTTTCTCTCTCAAAGACGTTTCTAGCTCTCTATCTCTCTCCTTTCCTCTGTAAAAAATCAATAAAATATATTTTAAAAAAGAATAAAATCAGGTATATGCTATACCATATTAGTGAAGAGAGATTAAAACCATCATTTAAAGGCACACTGATGATATCATACTGCTTTCTTTTATGGTAGGACATGGTCATAATAATTTTAAGGTACAAGGACAGCAGAAAAGGCCTGTACATGTGATCAACTGCCTTTCCACAGGGAAAGGAGATTGCCCTGTGGCTTGAGGAGGTGGATACTGTATGTTCTGTTTAAAGTTTGCCTTCTAGCCCCAGCTGGTTTGGCTCAGTGGATAGAGGGGCAGCCTTCGGACTGAAAGGTCCTGGTTTTGATTCCAGCCAAGGGCACATGCCCGGGGAAGCAGGCTCAGTTCCTAATAGGAGGTGTGTAGGAGGCACCCAATCAATGATTATCTCATCATTGATATTTCTATCTCTCTCTCCCTCTCCCTTACTCTGGAAATAAATAAAAACATATATATATTTAAAACTTTATTTATATATATATATATATATATATATATATATATATATATATATATATATATATATATATATGTTTATATATATATATATATATATATATATATGTTTAAATATATATATATATATATTTAAAATAAAGTTTGCCTTCTAGAGCTCTGTCACATGCCTGTAGATAAAGTTAGTCTCTCCCATGATTGCCAATCTCTAGGTTGGTTCACTGGGTGCTGTTGCTTCTCAGAATTCCATGACTAAGCCAGGAGTGATGTTTGTTATTTACTAATAGATGTTTCTTCTGCCTGCTCTGCTTACCACATCATCACAACAGGCCCTGAACTTTGTGAACTTCTCTGGAAAACCAAACATACCTCGAAGCTCCCCAGGCTTAGGCCTAATAACACCATCAATTGCTCTTTGCAAGATCATGGAACAGAGTTTAGAAGATGATTTGAACAAGGAAACATAACAGCTTATTGAATCAAAAATTTTCATGAGAAAATAAGAATCCAGAGAAACTAAGGAGCTTGACCAAGTTATCTTCTTCCATGAAGCCTTTCTGAGTTTTCCAAGATGGTTGTAGTGTTTTCCAGCAGTTTGCAAAACCAGTCTGCACACGCCTCCATGAATTTTTATCCTTTGTTAGAATGCTTTGCTGGTGTTGTCTCTTTCACTAGATTGAGATCTCCTTAGGATTGGGCTGAGTTATACTTGTCTACAAGGCCAGGTACATTTTAAGTACTCATGAATGTTTGTTGAGTGGGCTAGTCTCTCACATGCTGTCTACTAGGTACTATTGTTGTGAGGCCAGGCTCATGCAGATTAAGGAGAAGTTCCAAGAGGGCCAAGTTTCTCTTGGTAGTAGACAGACCAGAGTCTGAAGGCTAAGCCATAGATTATGCTGAGAAACACAGCTAGTAAGGGAAGATGAGAGTTAAAGAGATCTAGGACAGAAAGAAGGTAGTCAAAGTGTTTTAGGTTTCTCACTTGTAGATGCATTCATTCATTCATTCAAAAATTTTAATTTTAATTTAATTTAATTTTTAAAAAATGTATTTTTATTGTGGAAAGTTTTATAGATGTCCCCTTCCCCTTCTTCATTGAACTCCTCCCCAGCACTCCCACCCCCTACCCAGGCCTTAATTGCACTATTGTCTGCGTCCATGGGTTATGCATATCTATCTATCTATCTATCTATCTATCTATCTATCTATCTATCTATCATCTATTTAAATATCTAAATATCTATCTATCTATAGGCCTAAGTGACCATTGTAACCGAACAGGCAACTGAACAGGCTGCTTGGGGTGACTAGGCCAGCAGGGGGGTTAGAGAGGGGCGACCAAACGACTGAGCAGGAGGCTGCATGGGGCGACCAGGTTGGGGGAGGGAGGTAGTGAGGAGCTATCAGGCTGGCAGAGAGGGGGCAGTTAGGGGCAATTTGGGGTAACCAGGCTGGCAGGAGGGGGCAGTTAGGGGTGATCAGGCAGGCAGACAGGTGAGTAGTTAGGAGCCAGTGGTCCCAGATTTTGAGAGGGATGTTCAACTGCCAGTTTAGGCCCAATCCCCTGAGGGGTCCTGGATTGGAGAGGGTGCAGGCTGGGCTGAGGGCGCCCTCATCCCCGTGCATGAATTTCATGCACTGGGCCTCTAGTGTGTGTATAAATTCTTTGGTTAATCTCCTCCTGCTCTCCCACTTCCTGTAAGAATCATCAGTCTGTTGCATGTTTCCGTTGTCTGGCTCTATTTTGTTTGTCAGTTTATTTTGTTCATTATACTCCTCATATATGTTACCCCGACCCGCGGGGCACAGCAATGTGGGGAGAGGGAGGACCTGTGGAGGATCAAAAGAAGGGACAGGGGCACGGAGAAATGGAGGCAAGACAAAGTTCTGATCAAGCCTCAAACTTTATTTTTGGAATGGCAGTATATATACAGCAGGAACAAAGGGGGGCAGGATTGCCTACGCAGCGGGGTCTTTGACAGTGTATAATTGGTTTAGGCACTGAGTGACAAGGTGGTAAGGTATCTGGCAACACAGGATGGCTAACTGCCAGGGTGGCGTAACATTCCAAGGTGTAACATTCCAAGGCTGGGCTAGCTATGGGGGAGGATCAAGAAGGGGAGTTGCAGAGATCCTTTGGAGTAGGGGTGTCGAACTCAATCAGAGAAGGGGCCAAAATCTAAAATCCAGCCTAAATCGCGGGCCGAATGGTTTACTGAACAGTCATAAACTGTCATTGTGATGGAAACGCAGCGGAGTGCAGTGATGACAGCGTGGTGCGGGCCACATTGCAAGGCCTGGCGGGACGGATTTGGCCCGCGGGCCTTGTGTTTGACACTGTGCTCTGGAGCAAGATGTGCTAAGCGGCAGGTTAATCTTTAGCTTCTGGCCAAACCCGCAGGGCACCGCATAACTTCTGCTAGAAGGAACTTAATTCTAAGATGGAGTTGTATTTTCTTAAGATGGAGTTGCTTGTCTCAACTCTGATGGCTCCCAACAATATGTGAGATCATATGATATTTGTCTTTCTTTGCCTGCCTTATTTTGCTTAGCATAAAACTCTCCATATTGTCTTGAAGGGTAAGATATCCTTCTTTTATACAGCTTTATATGTATATGTACCATATCCTTTTTATCCACTCATCTACTGATGTGCACTTGGGCTGTTTCTAGATCTTAGCTATTATAAATAGCATTGCTGTTTGGGGAAACATGTAATTAAAGGCAGAGAAAAGGGGGGTGGGGGAAAATAAATAAATAAATAAACAAACAAATAAATAAATAAACATCACTGCTATGAACATAGGGGTCATGCATCCTTTCTGATTGATGTTTCAGGATTCTTAGGATATATTCTAGAAGTGGGATCACTGGGTCAAATGGTAGATCCATTTTTAATATTTTGATGAAATTCCATACTGTTTTCCATAGTGGTTACCCCAGTCTGCATGTCCATCCACAGTGTACTAGGGTTTCCTTTTTTCCACATCCTTACCAGTACTTACTGTTTGTTGATTTATTGATGGTAGCCATTCTGATAAATGTGAGGTGGTACCTCATTGTAGTCTTAATTTGCCTCTCTCTGATGATTGATGACATTGAGCATTTTCTCTTATGTCTCTTGACCTTTTGTATGTCCTGTTTGGAGAAGTGTCTAAGTCCTCTGCCCATTTTTTAATTGGATTGTTTTTCTTCCTTTAAGTTGTATGAGTTCTTTATATATTTTAGATGTATCATTGGCAAATATGTTCTCCCATACAGTGGGATCCCTTTTCATTTTGTTGATGGTTTCTTTTGCTGTGCAGAGCTATTTTTTCATGTGGGCCCATTTGTTTATTTTTATTATTTCCCTTACCCCAAGTGTCCTATCAGTGAAAATTGTGTTATGTGAGATTTCTAATATTTTGCTGCTTATGTTTTCTTCTATGATTTTTATGGTTTTACAACTTACATTTAAGTCTTTTATTCATTTTGGGTTTATTCTTGTGTATGGTGTAAGTTGGTGGTTTAGTTTCATTTTTTTTTTCATGTACCTGACCAGTTTTCTCAGCACCATTTATTGAAGAGACTCTCTTGACTCCATTGTAGGCTGTTGCCTCCTTTGTCAAATATTAATTGAGCGTAATGGCTTGGGTGGATTTCTGTGGTCTCTGGTCTGTTCCATTAGTCTATATGTCTGTTCTTGTGCTGCTGGGGCTGATCAGCAGCCCCTAAACAACAGATGAACAGATTACTTCAACACGTTTGTGAAAGAGAAGGCTAAGCCGAGACCAGTTTGGCTTAGTGGATAGAGGGTCGGTCTGTGGACTGAAAGGTCCCAGATTCGATTCCGGTCAAGAACATGTACATTGGTTGCGGGCACATCCCCGGTGGGGGGTGTGCAGGAGGCAGCTGGTTGATGTTTCTCTCTCATCGACATTTCTAGCTCTCTATCCCTCTCTCTTCCTCTCTGTGGAAAATCAATAAAATATATTTTTAAAAAAAGAAGAAAAAAAAGAAAGAGAAGGCTAAGGGGCAACCTGACTGATAGCAGCAAGGCAGCCTCTATTGCCTGCCTCATTAGGCCTTTATTGGAATTTTTATCTTTATATACAATTAGTAGGGCGAGTAATCTTTGGAGGACACATGTGTTTCCATTGTCCTCTAGGCAAAGGCATCCAGAGATTAAGCATAAAGATTCCGGTAAACACCCAGAAGTCTGCATGTGCACAGACTTGTTTGAAAGGTCAAGGAATAATTAAGGTCACCATCTTCAATACTCTCCTAAGTCTCCCCTAAGTCAGAATTCTGATAAACAGGGCAGATGTCCTTCCACACACTTCCTTTTTATCGAAATGTCCCCCTTATAAACTTTCCAAACAAGTTTACCAACATTGTGCCAGTACCAGCCTATTTTGATTACTGTGGTTTTGTAGTATAGCTTGATATTCAGTATTGTGATCCCTCCAACTTTGTTCTTTCCCAAGATTTCTGGGGCTATTCAGGTCTTTTTTGGTTCTATTAAAATTTTTGGAGTGTTTGTTCTAAATCTGTAAAATGTGCCATTGGTATTTTAATAGGGATTGCATTAAATCTATAGAATTTTTTTGGGTAGTATGGACGGACATTTTCATGATGTTAATTCTAATAATCTATGAACACAGTATATTCTTCCACTTGTTTATATCTTCTTCTATATCTTTTTTCTATGTTCTGTAGTTTTTCGAATACAGGCCTATTACCTCCTTTGTTAAGTTTATTCCTAAGTATCAATTTTTTGTTGTTGCAGTGGTAAATAGGATTGTTTTTTTGTTTTGTTTTGTTTTGTTTTTTAGCTTTTCTTTCTGAGAGTTCATTAATGGTATATAAAAGTGTCATCAATTTCTGGGTGTTAATTTTGTCTCCTGCTATTAAATTTAGTAGTTTTATGGTGGAGTCTTTGTGGATTTCTATGTACAATATGATGTCATCTGTAAATAATGAGTTTTACATTCTTCTTTCCAACTTGTATGTCTTTTATTTTTTCTTCTTGTCTGATCACTGTGGCTAGAACCTCCATTATTATGTTGAATAAAAGTGGTAAAAGCAGATATCCCTGTTTTATTCCTGTTTTTAGGGGAAATGGTTTTAGTTTTTGCCCATTGAGTACGATGTTGATTGTAGGTTGTCATATATGGCCCTTATTATGTTGAGATATGATCCTTCTATCTGTACTTGGCTGAGAGTTTTTATCAAATATGTTTGTTGGGTCCAGCCAGTGTGGTTCAGTGGTTGAGCATCCACTCATGGAACAGGAGGTTGAGGTTCAATTCCCAGTGAGACCACATGTGTGGGTTGTGGGCTCAACCCCCAGTAGGGGGTGTGCAGGAGGCAGCTGATTGATGATTCTTTCATCATTGATGTTTCTCTCTCTCCCTCTTCTTTCCTTTCTGATATCAATAAAAACATTTTTTAAAAATGAATGTTGGATTTTGTTGAATGTTTTTTTCTACATCTGTTGATATAATCATGTGATTTTGGTCTTTCGGTTTGTTTATGAGATGTATCACATTTATTGATTTGCTTATATTGTATGAGCTTTGCATCCCTGGAATAAATCTCATTTAGTCATGGTATATGATTTTTTTAAATATATTGCTGGATTCGATTTGCTAATATGTTGTTGAGGATTTTAGCATCTATTTTCATCAGGGATATTGGCCTATGATTCTCTTTCTCATAGTTTCTTCATCTGGTTTTGGAATTAGGATAGAAAGAGCTTGGAAGTGTTTCTTCCTCTTGAGTCTTTGGAATAGTTTGAGGATGATGGATGTTAGTGCTTTATTTGATAAAACATCCCTGTGAAGCCCTCTAGGGCAAGGCTTTTTTTTTTTTTTTTCTGTAAGTTTTTTTTTTTTAATTATTATTACTGCTTAAATTTCATCAGTTGTTATTGGTCTATTCAGGTTTTCTGATTCTTTCCGATTCAGTTTTGGAAGGGTATATTTTTCTAGGAATTTGTCCATTTCATCCACTTGTTGGCATATAGTCGTTCAAAGTATTTCCTTACAATCCTTTGTATTTCTGTGATGTCAGTTGTTATTTCACTGCTTTCACTTCTATTCTATTTATTTGGGTTCTCTCTCTTTGTTTTTGATTGTCTAGCTAAAGGTTCATCAATCTTGTTTATCTTTTCAAAGAACCAGCTCTTGGTTTCATTGATTTAAAAAAAAAATTTTTTTTTTAAATTTTAGTTTCTGTGTCATTTATTATTGCTGCTGTAATCTCTACTATTTCCTTCCTTTTACTTACTCTGGGCTTTTCTTGTTGATATCTTTCTAATTCTTTAAGTTCTAGGGTTAGTTTATTATTGATAGAAATTTTTCTTGTTTTTTGAGGTAGGCCTGTAGTACTATGAACTTCCCTCTTAGGATTGCTTTTGTTGTGTTTCTTAGATTTTGTGTGATTGTGTATTCATTTTCATTTGTTTCCAGGGAGTTTTTTATTTCTTTGATCTCAATGACCATTCATTATTTAATAACATGCTATTTAGCCTCATGTGTTTGAATGCTTTGGGGTATTTTTAAAAAAATATATATTTTATTGATTTTGTACAGAGAGAAAGGGAGAGAGATAGAGAGTTAGAAACATCCATGAGAGAGAGCCATCGATCAGCTGCCTCCTGCACACCCCCCACCGGGGATATGCCCGCAACCAAGGCACATGCCCTTGACCGGAATCGAACCCGGGACCCTTCAGTCCCCAAGCCGACGCTCTATCCATTGAGCCAAACCGGTCCCAGCGCTTTGGGGTATTTTTATTGTAGTTGATCTCTAGTTTCAAATCATTGTGATCTGAAAAGATGCTTGATATGATTTCAGTCTTCTTGAATTTGTAGAAACTTAGTTTGTGTCCTAACATGTGGTCTATCTTTGAGAATAATCAATGTGCACTTGAAAAGAATATATCAATATATTCTGCAGCTTTGGGTAAAATGTTCTGTAAATATCAATTAAATTCATTTTATCTAGTGTGTTATTTAGGATCATTGTTTCCCTGCTAATTTTGTTTGTCTAGAACTGTGGTCAGCAAACTGAGGCTTGCGAGCCACATGCAGCTCTTTGGCCCCTTGAGTGTGGCTCTTCCACAAAATTCCGTGACCTGGGTGAGTCTATTTTAAAGAAGTGGTGTTAGAAGAAGTTTAAATTTTAAAAATTTGGTTCTCAAAAGAAATTTCAATTGTTGTACTGTTGATATTTGGCTCTGTTGACTAATGAGTTTGCTGACCACTGGTCTATAATATCTGTCTGGTGGTGTTTAAATTCCACAACTATATGGGGGAATATACGTTTATCAGGGTTATATCATATTATTGTATCAATCCCTTCAGTATTATGAAGTGTCCTCATTGTCTCTTGTTATAGCCTTCATTTTGAAGTCTATTTTGTCAGATATGAGTATTGCTACCCCTGTCCTTTTTCATTTCCATTTATGAAAAAATGTTTTCCATCCCTTCATTCTCATCCTGAGTATGCCATTCGCTCTGAAGTGGGTTTCTTGTAGACAGCATATATATGGGTCATGTTTTCTTTTCCTTCTTTCCTTCCTTCCTTCCTTCCTTCCTTCCTTCCTTCCTTCCTTCCTTCCTTCCTTCCTTCCTTCCTTCCTTCCTTCCTTCCTTTCTTTCTTTATTTTATTTTTATTTTTATTTTTATTTATTTATTTATTTATTTATTTATTTATTTATTTTATTTTTTTATTTTTTAAATAAATCTTTATTGTTCAGATTATTACAAATGTGATCCTCTTCCCCCCCTCAATTGCTCCCCTTCACCAGGTTCCCATTCCACCCTCTGTCCTTTCCCCATCACCCATTGTCCTCATCCATAGGTGCACAGTTTTTGTTCAGTCTCTTCCCGCACCCCGACTCCCCTTTTCCCTGAGAATCGTCAGTCCACTCCCCTTCCATACCTCTGATTCTATTATATTCACCATTTAATATTGTTCATCAGATTTTTAAATTCCCTTGGTTTTTAGATTCACTTGTTGATAGCTATGTATTTGTTGATCATAATTTTTATCTTTATCTTCTTCCTCTTCCTAAATAACCTCCTTCAGCAATTCATATAATTCTGGTTTGGTGGTGATGAACTCTTTTAGCTATTTTTTATTTGTGAAGCTCTTTATCTGTCCTTTGATTCTGAGTGATAGCTTTGCTGGGTAGATTATTTTTGGCTGTAGGTTCTTGTTATTCATCACCTTGAATATTTCTTGCCATTCCCGTCTGGCCTGCATGGTTTCTGTTGAGAAATCAGCTGACAATCTTATGGGTGCTCCTTTATAGGTCACTACCTGCTTTTCTCTTGCTGCTTTTAATATTCTTTCTTTGTCTTTTGCTCTTGGAATTTTAATTATGATATGTCTTGGTGTGTTCCTCCTTGGATTCCTTTTGTTTGGGGTTCTGCGGGCTTCCTGGACTTGTAAGTCTATTTCTTTCCCCAGGTGGGGGAAGTTTTCTGTCACTATTTCTTCTAGTACTCTTTCGGTATCTTGCTCTCTCTCTTCTGGAATCCCCATAATTCTGATGTTGGTTGGCTTGAAATTGTCCCAGAGGTTTCTTACACTATCTTCAACTTTCTGGATTCTCTTATCTTCTCCCTTCTGCAGAGGAGTGTCCTCTGGCTCTTTGTGTTCTAAATCTTTGTCTTGATTCTTGCGATCTTCCAGTCTGTTTTTAGGACTTTGTATAATATTTTTTATTTCAGACAATGTTTTCTTCATTTCTTGTTGATCCCTTATTATTTCTAGTTGCTCCCTTTTCATATCCTCATAGGTCTCATTTATTTTATCAGCCTTTTTTAGGATATTGTTGAATAACCTTATAACTGTAGTTTTGAGCTCAATGTCCAATCTTTTCTTTTCCTCCAGCTCCTTCCTTTGTGTCCTTCTTCTTGTCTGCATTTTAGTTGTTTCCCTGATTTGATGGAATAGCTTTGTGTGCTAGGTGTTCTGGTAGAGCCCAGTAGCACAGCCTTCCCAGTTACCTGCAGTGGACAGTCTTGGTGTAGCCCTTTGTGGGCTGTGTGTGCAGTCTTGTTGTTAAGCCTTGCTTATTGTTGGTATCACTGGGAAGCATTGATCTCCAAGCCAATTGGCTGTGAGGATCAGCAGTGTCTCAGCTAGGAGGGTTTCAGTACTCTGCTTGAATAGGGCAGGGTCTCGGGGTGGCGCAGACAATCTTTGGTTCCCTGTCAGTCTTGCCTTAGAAAAGTCCTGTTCGTGGAGAGTTTTGGAAGATTGGTTTCAGGCGCGCACACCTCTTTGGTAAAGGCGCAGACAAGCTTTGGATTCCTGCAAGTCCCTCTTTAGAGAAAGCCAGCCTCTGGGAGAGCTTCTGTGCTCAGCCACAGGTAGGGTGGAGTCTCGGGTTGGTGCAGACAAACTTTGTTTTCCCTTCGGCTCCTCCCCAAGTCCCGCAGTAATGGCCTCTGGCTTCACACACCTCCAAGAGATCTCTGCCCACTGCTTGACAGTCTGGCCTCTCCCTGTCTGGGGCCGTTTATCAGAGCAATAGGGTGATTCTGTTTTCCTCTCAGACAAGAAAGCCAGCCGCGTTAGCTGTTCACCCTCTCCGCGCCAGGAGTAAACCAGTAGCGAACTCAGCCCAGCCCGCCCTCTCTGCGTGCAGGGAGTAAGCCAGCAGCAATCTCGGTCCAGCCCTTCCTCTCTGCACCGGGATTAAGCCAGCGTCTTTTCACGCACACAGTTCTCCGTACCTTCACAGTTCCTGAGGTTCAGCGTGCCTTCTCTCTCCTTCCCAGATGGCAGAGCCTCCTCTCAGCCAGCCGTCTGGCACTTCAGGGCAATGCCTCCCCTGTTTTTCAGTTCTAAATTCAAATTTGTTGTGGTAGGCTGCATTCGGGTGTCTACCCTATGCCGCCATCTTGGTTTCTCCTATTTTATTTTTTTATTATTATTATTTTTTAATAAATCTTTATTGTTCATATTATTACAAATGTTCATTTCCCCCCCCTTCCATTGCTCCCCTCCACCAGGTTCCCACCCCACCCTGTGCCCTTTCCCCACCCCCATTGTCCTCATCAATAGGTGCACAGTTTATGTTCAGCCTCTTCCCACACACCCTCACTCCCCTTTTCCCTGAGAATACCTCTGATTCTATTATATTCACCAGTTAATATTGTTCATCAGATTTTTTAAAATACCCTTGGTTTTTAGATTCACTTGTTGATAGTTACGTATCTGTTGTTCATAATTTTTATCTTTATTTTATTTCTCTTCCGAAAAAACCCCCTTAAGCAATTCATATAATTCTGGTTTGGTGGTGATGAACACCTTTAGCTTTTTTTTTTTTATTAGTGAAGCTCTTTATCTGGCCTTTGATTCTGAGTGATAGCTTTGCTGGGTAGATTATTTTTGGCTGTAGGTTCTTGCTATTCATCACCTTGAATATTTCTTGCCATTCCCATCTGGCCTGCATGGTTTCTGTTGAGAAATCAGATGACAATCGTATGGGTGCTCCTTTATAGGTAATTACCTGTTTCTCTCTTTCTGCTTTTATTTTATTTTTTATTTTATTTTTTAAATATATTTTATTGATTTTGTACAGAGAGGAAGGAGCGAGATAGAGAGTTAGAAACATCGATGAGAGAGAGTCATCGATCAGCTGCCTCTTGCACACCCCCTACTGGGGATCTGCCCACAACCAAGGTACATGCCCTTGACCAGAATCGAACCCGGGACCTTTCAGTCCCCAAGCCGATGCTCTATCCACTGAGCCAAACGGGTCCTGGCCTCTCTTTCTGCTTTTAATATTCTCTCTTTGTCTTTTGCTCTTGGAATTTTAATTATGATTTGTCTTGGTGTGGTTCTCTTTGGATTCCTTTTGTTTGGGGTTCTGTGCACTTCCTGGACTTGTAAGTCTAATTCTTTCACCAGGTGGGGGAAGTTTTCTGTCCTTATTTCTTTCAGTATGTTTTCGGTATCTTGCTTTCTCTCTTCTTCTGGGACCCCCATAATTCTGATGTTGGTTCACATGAAATTGTCCCAGAGGTTTCTTACATTATCTTCAACTTTCTGGATTCTCTTGTCTTTTTGCTTCTGCGGAGTGTCTTCTGGCTCTTTATGTTCCAAATCTTTGACTTGATTCTTGCGATCTTCCATTCTGTTTTTAGGACTCTGTATAATATATTTTTTTTATTTTAGACAATGTATTCTTTATTTCTTGTTGATCCCTTTTCATATCCTCATTGGTCTTGTTTATTTTATTGGCCTTTTCTAGGAAATTCTTGAAAAACCTTATAAGCATGGTTTTGAACTCTATATCCAGTTGCTTTTTGTCCTCCGTTTCTTTCATTTGTGATCTGTTTCCTTGTCTCGGCATTTTCGCAGCTTCCCTGAGTTGGTAGCCTTAAAAGTCTCTGTGTTCAGCTTGGATGGTGTGGAGTTTCAGAGTGGAGCCTACAGCCTTGGCTTCCATCAGCCATGCCCTATGAGACTCCTGAGTCTCAGTGTTTCTCAGTGTCCTTCAGTACTCGCTGCAAGGACCTCTGAGAGAAAGGTGCCCTCGAGTTTCACCTGCTACCAAACAGTCTAGGCTCTCCCCCTATGAGCCCGGAACTGGGGTTCAGTTCAGTGGAAGTGGGGTTGGAAGTGGGGTTCAGAGCAGTCTGGAGCTTTTGTCTCCTTCCCATTAGGGCAATCCAGTGGCACAGTCAACTGCCCATTCTCTGAGCACAATGTGTGTGCCCCTGGGACTTTCTTTCGCCGCTCCCCTGAGTTTCTGCCTTACAGCCCAGGCTCCCTCTGTATGAGCCTGGGTCCCCAGGGTCTGGCCTAGAACTGGGGTTCAGTGCAGTCGGAACTGGGGTTCAGCACAGTCCGGAGCTTTTGTCTCTTTCCTGCTAGGGCAATCTAGCGGCAGAGTCAACAGTCTGTCCTCTGCATAATGTGCGCGCCTCTGGGACTGCCTTTCGCTGCTCCCCTGAGGTTCCACCTTACAGCCCAGACCCCTTCCTTACGTGTCTGGGTCCCCAGGGTCTCGTCCAGAACTGGGGTTCAGTGCTGTCGGATCTGGGGTTCAGCACAGTCTGGAGCTTTATCTCCTTCCCACTAGGGAATGCCAGCCAGGCACTCAGCCTCCCCCTCCTCTCCGGCTCCGTCCTCTCTGGGCACACAACGTGTCTCCATACCTTAGGCTTTTGCAGCTCCTCTGATTTTCCTTCTGGTTTTCTCTTTCCTTCTTGTTGTAGAATTTCCAGTAAGTTGACTTTCCTGTAGTTCTGGGTAATGTCCATTTTGTATTTTAGTTGTATTTTATTGAAATTGTTGTGTGAGGCTGCAGTTAGGTGTTTACCTATGCCACCATCTTGGATTCTCCCATGTTTTCTTTTTCATTCAGTTATACTAAGTCTTTTGATTGGAGCATTTAAGTCATTAACATTTAGTGTTATTCTTGATGATTTCTTATTTGTTGTCATTTTTATCCTTTTGTTGTTGTTGTTAATCCTCACCCAAGGATATTTTTCCATTGGTTTTTAGAGAGAGGAGAAAGGAGGGAGAGAGAGAAACATCGATGCGAGAGAGTTACATTGATTGGTTGCCTCCAGCACACCTCCCACCAAGAGCTCGGGAATGAGCCTGCAACTAAGGTACTTGCCCTTGATCTGTATCAAACCCAGGACCTTTCAGTCTGTGGGCTGACCCTCTATCCACTGAGAAAAATCAGCTAGTGTGCCATTTTCATTCTTTATGCTTGTGTTCCTCACTATCTCTTTATTTCTCTCTCTATTTCTTCTTACAATGTCCCTTTAACATTTCGTGCAGTGCTGGTTTGGTGGTAATAAACTCAGAAGACAGTCAGTGCCAGACAGGCTGGGTACACACACTGCAAAACTACAGTGGCAAACTACAGCAGTCTGGTGACGATGAGAGGAGATGTGATGAGATGAATCCTTGGAAAATTGATGACGTTGCCTCAAATGATTGTCAACGACGTTGTTGACTTTTTGTTGACACAGATGATAACTTCAGTCCAACCCTTATCCATACATCCATGATCAACAATCCTCACGAAAACTGAATCTCAGATAAAGATTAAGGAAACTACAGTACACAGAAAAAAACCTCAGGAGTCAATTATATGATTGTTGTTGGATATGTTCAAATTCAAGATGCAGGATTAGAACAGCAATCAAAGCAAAATAATTGCATCACTTGTGACAAACACACTGGATTGTTATTAAAACTTAAGTGGTGTGACATCCTACAAACGGTGACTACAAAGAAAACTTGATGCAGCGTTTTTGATCTTTCTAAGAGAAATGAACAAAAGATTATTTTTTTTGTTGTTGAAATCAAAGGCAAACCAGTATGCCTAGTTTGTGGCGATGTGTTAGCAATAATGCAAATAGCCAATATGGAGCATCACTGCAGCTCAAAACATGCTAAACCCAGTGAATTGGGAGGCTAAATGCATCTGGATGAAACCAGTGATCTTCAGCGGAGGTTGGAATCCTGCTTTCATTAGGCCCTGTTGTGATAGAGATAAACTTATTGAGATGTGTTATGTAGAGAGCGAGCTAATGGCAAAGAAGCTGAGGCCTCATGTAGACGGAGAGTTTGTGAAAGGGTGCATGGTGGCCGCTGCTGAGCTATTAGCACCAGACAAAGTAAAATTGTTCAGAGTGTTCGTTTTCTCAGAGAACCATCTCAGATCAGATTACAGACGTAGCACAAGATATTGAAAAAAACACTGAAGGATTCTGCAGGAGAATTCCAATTTTTCTCTCTGGCTTATGATGAGACAACAGACATAACAAATACTGCCCAACTGGCTGTTTTCATTCATGGGATAACTGCAGAGTTTGACATGTGAGAGGAGCTGCTGTCACTGGAAGCCACGCATATCAGTACAAGAGGAGAAGATTTGAGAGACTTGTTTTATCAATGAAAAAATTGGAGCTAACATTTGAAGTTAAGTGGCTTTCCTACAGATGGAACTCCAGCCATGATTGGCTAGCAAAAAGGGTTAATTGCCATTTGTCAAGAAAGAACTGAATCATCTCAGTTTTGATTCCAGTAATTAAATTGTATGCCACTGCAACACACACCAAGAAAGTCTCTGTACACAGTCGTTGCGGCTCAACAATGTGATGGCAACAGTAGTGCCATGCATAAATTTTGTCAAAAGCAGAGGGTTCAACAGCCACCTGTTTAAGGAGTTGCTGAATGATCTTGAGTCTGAGTACGGTGATCCTATTTATCACTGTGAAGTGGAGCGGCTGAGTCCTGGGGACATGCTCATGAGATGGGATGAAGTCAAGCAGTTCATGGAGGTGAAGGGGAAACCTGCCAGGGAACTCAGTGATAGCAGGTGGCTGTGTGATCAGCGTTCATGGTGGACATTACCAAGAACCTCTCAGAGCTGAGCATCAAGCTTTAGGGCCCCAACCAGCTTCTCAGCTCCCTGCTTTCAAACGTTGAGGTCATTTGAAGCAAAATTAAGGCTGAGGAAAGTGCAACTCGAAAGGAGTAACTCAGTGCATTCCCCAATCCGGAAGAACAAATGTGTGAAACTAACTGAGGCATTTAAGGAAAGATTCAAGGATGTGAAAAGAAAACAAATGGGATTGAACATCTTTGCTACATTGTTCAATGTGGAACCAACTGATGTGCCTAATAACACACAACACGAAATCATTCAGCTACAAAACAATGACGAGCTGAAAGCTAGGTACAACAACCTCCCACTGCTTGAGCTCTACAAACGTTACATAAGCAATGGTGAATTTCCCACTCTATGGTGACATGCACTGAAATATGCATCTGTGTTTCGAACACCTTACTGCTGCTAGCCATTCTTTTTTTTAATATATATATTTTATTGATTTTTGTACAGAGTGGAAGGGAGAGAGAGAGTTCGAAACATCAATGAGAGAGAGTCATCGATCAGCTGCCTCTTGCACACCCCCTACTGGGGATGTGCCCGCACCAAGGTACATGCCTTTGACCGGAATCGAACCCGGGGCCCTTCAGTCCCCAAGCAGACACTCTATCCATTGAGCCAAACCGGTCCTGGCTAGCCATTCTTTTAAAAACTTATCACAAAGAGACTACTGCGCCCCAGACTGACCGAAGCAAACCTGGAAAAGCAGTGGCGAGTAGTATCATCATCAATACCAGCTAACATCACAGGCCTTACCAAAGAGAAGCCGTTCCAGCCATCATATTAGGGGTGAGTTAATGAAATGTTTGACTATACATCGCAAGCTAATTTGATAATTTTGCATGGCCTGGGAATGATGTTATGCATATCCAAGTGGCCCTTGACAGAAAACAGGTTTCCCACCCCAGGTCTGGATAGACCAGTTCCAAAAAAGAGAATCCTGTACAATGCTGCAGGCAGACCTTCATCTCTCAGTACATTAATGGAAAGCACCCACGCTTAGGACCTCATCTGAGATCAACAGGCCCCTGGGAACTCAGAGTCAGGCTTCAGGTTAACCCCTGAATCTGTGCCTCCAGAACATTTTTCTGTAGAGAAGTATTACATGGAGCCAGGCCAGAGTATAAAAAAGTGAAATAGGTCAGGTGGGAGAACCCTGCCACACTTGCCTATTAAGTATGCTTCACTTCCGCAGAGAAATAACTTCTTTCCATTTGTCTTGAAATATGCAGTCTTTGGGTCTATCTTTTATTTCCTCGCTTCTGGTAGAGACTTCCCCACCTAGGGAAAACAACAATGCAAGGGTCACAGCCCATGGCAAGGAGTGCTCGGTGTTGGGGAGACCACAGAGGATGGCGAGGGCTGTGGTGCCTGCACCTTCCCAAGCGGCAGCCATCACTCTGCTGCAACTGGTCACAGCCTTGAGGGAGGGGACCCAGTGTTGAGAGATCTTAGGATCTCCTTGGTGGTGAAATCTCCAGAACTTTAGAATCCCGGCATACTAACCAAAGCACTCTGGGGTGGGGATGGGGGGTCACATATAACCCATAGGCATGTGGTTTGTGAGCTCTGGTCTATAGATTTTACCAGAATTTCTAAGAGATATGTGACTTAACATTAACAACCACTGTTCTATTGTAGAATATGATTTACCTCAAAGTCTAAGGGAGGAAAGACCAAGGGCATGACCATCTCCCAGGTTCCTGGGTCCCAAAAGTCTAGGGGAAAGCCATCTGCCTGGCTCCTCCCCCATCCCTAACCCAGAGCATAGAAGCCAGTGGTGTGGGCTCCTCTTCCCCCTCCTTTGTCCACTGGTGAGTGTCCTGCATGATGGAGAGGGAGCAAGAAGGACATTGTAAAAGGGAATTGGTACTGAGAAGCACAGAGGAAAAGTAAGTGATGCTCATTAAATAGAAGGTATCTCTCTTCTTTGTCTTCTCAATTCTCCATTCTACCCCCTTCCCATGGGTCCCTCCACATCCAACCCACTACACCCCAAGACATTTCTATGTCTTTGGTTGCAAGGCATAGAAATCCAAATCAAACCTGGCTGGGAAAAAATAAGCTCATTGTCTCCCATATCTGAGAAGCCCAAGGATAGAACAGCTTCAGGCATATTGGATTCAAGCGCTCAGGAATTACCCCTTCCCCCTTCTGCTTTTCCCTCTTGCCTTCATTCTTTGATGGGCATTCTCCAACGGGTTAAAGAGTTGGTTACATGATGATTACTCCTCATTATCTCAGAAGGGAAGGGATTGCTTCTCTTGCAACGCATACATCAAACCCTAACCAAATTTTCTTGGGCTTTGATACTAGACAGACCCCTGTATCCAGGGGCATGGGATATTCTTTTTGGCTAGTCAGGATCACATATTCCTCAGAAGAGTAGGTCCTAGAATCACTGGGAGTCTGAGAATGGTATGCATGCGTGTGTGTGTGTGTGTGTGTGTGTGTGTGTGTGTGTGTTTGTGTGTGTGTGGTGCTAATGATGAAATGGCAAAATCTAAAAGGAAGTGATGGTGCCCAGCCAGTATGGCTCAGTGGTTGAGCATCAGTCTGTGAACCAGGAGGTCACAGTTTGATTCCCTGTCAGGGCATATGCCTGGGTTATAAGCTAGATGCTCAGAGGGGGTATGCAGGAGGCAGCTGATCAATGATGCTATCTCATCATTGTTTCCTTCTCTCTCTCTCACTCTCCCTTCCTCTAAAATTTATTTTTTAAAATATATATATTTTTTATTGATTTCAGAGAGGAAGGGAGTGGTAGAGAGAGATAGAAACATCAATGATGAGAGAATCATTGATCGGCTGCCTATTGCACTCCCCCTACTGGGGAGCAAGCCCACAACCCAGGCATGTGCCCCTGACTGGAATCAAATCCGGGGCCCTTCAGTCCACAGTCCAAGACTCTATCCACTGAATCAAACAAGCCAGGCCCTTCCTCTACAATTTAAACAAACAAACAAATGGAAGGGACGTTGACCACTTAAAAGCATACCTTCTCCCCACAAGTGCTTCAGACACAACAGTCAAGGATATCTGATAGCACCCCCACCCTAAAAAAAACAAACCCAAAACCTAAAAAATTCTTTCTGCAACTTGGCAGAAGCTGTGTGGAGTACTTGTCAATTGCAGTATTAGAACATCTGCATTGCAAAACCAAGACTGTCCAGTTCGGGTTTGGCACATAGAGGGGATTTTCAAGGCTTGGCAATTTCTCAGTGCAGGCAACGGAAGAAACTCTCCAATGATGTGAAAATCACTCCCCTCCCCTCATGCAGAATGAGCTCACCGGAGCAGCATGCACCTCCTATCCCACTGAACAGAACAGATATGTTTCTGAACATCTAGAAACAAATGAAATCACTTTGTAACCCTACAGATTTAAACCTGAGAACGAGCTCCAGGGAATGAACTCCAAGAGGGTCTCAGGCAGTCTCAGGAGGTGACTGTTGAGCTTCATGTAGATGAATACACGATGATCCTACTTACAGGGAGAAAAAAAATCCAAACTCACTGAGAGTAAAAGGATGGTAGTTGAAATAACAGTTCATCTTTATTATTTGCTGAGTACCAAAGCATTTCTCATAGATTATCTCATTTAATTTTCAGAACAACACTATAAAGGCAATTTTCATTATTATCTCTGTAAGAGGCTACTTTGTCAAAGATCAATATGTAGCAAGCAGTGGAAGAGTAAGGATTCATGCCCTGGCAGTTTAATATTAAAGCCATGCTGCTAAAACATCCATCCATTCATCCATCCATCCATTCATTCAACAATTATGTGGATTGCCTACCAAATGTTGGGAACTATTCAAGGTGCTAAGTAAGATAGATCTATGAACAATGCAAAGGCAAATACATGCCCCCATGAAGTTTACATTCTAGTGGGGGAGAAAGACAGAAAACCAGACTAATAAATAAAATATAAACTAAGTTAGATAGTGATCAGTGTTAAGGGAAAAACTACACCAGGGGAGAGAGACCAGTGTTTGTGGGAGGGTTGATTATGAATAGAGTGATCAGGCAAGGTCCCACTAAGAAGGTGACACTGAGTAAAAATCTGAGGAAGTAAACCATGCAGGTATCTGACAGGAAGAAAATGATAGGTAGGGAAACAGCATAGATGAAGGCCTTGAGGAAGGAGAAAGAGCAGCATGTTTTATAAATAGCAAGGGGTCGAATGTGACTGGGAAAGAGTGATCCAGGAACACAGCAGGAAGAGGCGAGACCAGACGTAAATGGGACCAGATCTTGTTGGATTCTCCAGTGGTTCTTAGGATTTTGTCTTTCACTCTGGTATGATGCAGCCATTTGGGTTGGAGCAGAGGAGGGACATGAAATGACTTAGTTTAAACAGGATCACTCTTACTGCTCCTGTCAGGTGTGCACAGATGTAAGAGGAACAAGGATGCCAGGAGGGAGGCTGCAGCAGTAAGTCAGGCAGAAATGGGGTGACTTGGACTGGTAATGTAGCAAGTGCTTCAAATGATGAAGTGGCTGATGATGTAGCAAGTGCTTCAAATCTGGGTTTATTGTGAAGTCAAGAGCCACAGGATTGGGTAACAGGTGGGATATGGGGTGTGTGAGAAGGAGCAATGAAGGATGACTAAGGTTTTTGACCTGAGCAAATGAAGACTGGAGTTGACATTTTCAGAGATGTGGAAGATTGAAGGAGGAGTGTGTGTGTGTGTGTGTGTGTGTTTTTTTTTTTTTTTTTTTTTGTGTGTGTGTGTGTGTTTTAAGAAGTGTTGTTTTAAGGGGTTATCAGGACTTAGTTTGAGACGTGTTAAACCGGAGATGCCTATTGGACATTCAAAAGTGATGGGAGTGTCAGGTCTGGAATTCAGGAGAGAGGTCCATCAGGACTGGAGTTATAACCTCTGCAAACTTACTCTGTTCTCTTAGAGTAATTGAAGATACTGGCCTATGTGCAATTTTGGGCAAATGTTGACTGTATAAAAAAATACTAGAACAGCCGAAACCGGTTTGGTTCAGTGGATAGAGCGTTGGCCTGTGGACTGAAAGGTCCCAGGTTCGATTCTGGTCAAGGGCATGTATCTTGGTTGCGGGCACATCCGCAGTGGGGGTGTGCAAGAGGCAGCTGATGGATGATTCTCTCTCATCGATTCCCTCTCTCTTTCTCTCTGTAAAAAAATCAATAAAATGTATTAAAAACAAACAAACACACACACACACACACACACACACACACACACACACACACACACACACACCAGAGAAAACTACTACTATCCCAGACTCCCTGCATAGGGGGGAGCGAGTTTATGCTTCCTCCCAGAGCCAGCAGAGGGAGCACTCCGCAAGGTTTGTGAGCCGCGCCTCCCCACACCTCCTCCCCCTTCCTCGCCCAACTTCCCCATAGCCATCGCTTCAACCAAGAGTGACCATTGACCTTTCAAGCTTTTGAGCAGTGATGCAATAGAATGGTATTTCAAAGAAAAAATGGTTATCGAAGTTTTGGAACTGGGTTTCCCGTGAATGTGAATGGTTTTTAAAAAGTAGGTCACATTTCGGGGGCGGGCGTGCAGGCAAGGAGATGAGTTCCCACGGAGGCCAGGTGACCTCCAAGCGGGTGGGAGGCGGTGAAGGGTCCCCGGGCCGGCTGGGATCTTTCTGAATTCCCGGGCCCTGGGCGCCAGCCCCGCAGGAAATCGCAGAGACACGCGCCCTGCGGACTGCTGGAACCGGGGCTCATCGCCCAGCACCTCTCAGGCGCGCGCGTCAGGGAGCGCCCCCGAACAGTCCGCCCAGGTGAGCTGGGGACGCCCGGCTGCAGAAAGGAGCCTGAGGAGCGGCCTGGAGGGGAGGAACCTGGCCGGGCAGGTGCCAGAGGCCGCCCGCGGGAGGGAGCTGAGAGCGGCCAGCGCCGCCTAAGGAGCCGCTGGCTGCCTTCTAGGACCCGAGCCGAGGGCACCGCCTCCGGCCCGCTCCCTCCGGCTGTTGGGCGTGGGCACCGGGCGCTGGGCTGGAAAGGGGCCTCCCCACCCCATTCAAGTGTCTTGCCGGGAGTGGCCTTTTCGGGGACGACCCCCCAAACCCCCCGCTCCATCTCTCTGGCGCGCTGCTCACAAAATGCGCGGCTTGCGGTGTCGCGTGGAGGGACCGAGGGGCTAAGAAAGAGAGATCCCCGCAGAGGGGCGAGGATGTCTGCTATTCGCTCGATCCCGGCTCACGCCTGGCACGGCTGGGGGGCAGGTTCTGGCCGCCCAAACGGGGGCGATGGTGGCCGAGGTGTTCTGCGCGTCCCCGAACCACCCGGAGTGCGGAGGTCGGGTGGGGCCAGCCGCCCCGTGGCCCCCCTTCCGGGCGCGCAGAGCCCGCCCCCTCTCCCTCCCCCAGGCCTGCGCAGTGGCGCTCTCGCCTATTTGAAGCCGGAGCTGGGGCCGCGGTCACGTGGGGCGAATTCCTGGAAAGTTCCTGGAAAGCGGCCTCCGCCGCAGCCGGGCGGGGCGCTCCGAGCGCGGCCGGGGGAGGAGGGAGGTGGGGAGCACCGGAGGCGCGTGGGGCCCGGGAGTCGCGCGCACACGCCGCTCCGGGAACGGACGTTTAACTCTTGCCAAGTCTGGCCGCCGCCACCGCGGCTCGCGGGCCTGGGCTTCCCCCGAAGCATGAGCCTCCTCGCCCGCCGCCTCTGGCGCAGCGCGGGCCGCGGACAGGGCGCCCCCGGGCTGCGGGCGCCACGCCTCAGGACCCTCTGCTCCCGCAGCCGAGACGCCGGAGGAGCGCGGGCCGGGGCCGGCGGCAGGTACGGGCGCGGGGAGCCCAGGCGCCGCCCCTACGGGGTGGCCGGGGAGGGCTCGGGGCGCCGCCGCGGGCGCCGGGCGGCCGGGGCTTCCGCAGTTCGGAGGCGCCCGGGGCGGAGAGTCCGAGCCGCGGTGCTGCCCCGCTGCCGGGCACCGCGGCCGGCTCTCTCCGCTTCCTTCCCGGCGTCGGGCAGTCTCCGGAGTGTTTTTTCTCTCCTAAACCGTCACCCAAATGAATAGTCCTCCCAATAACCGGATCTCCCGCTCCTTTCCCCTCGCCTGCCTCCCGCCTGG